TTTCCCTTCACCCATAGATGCTGCATACCAAATTTGGTTGAAATTGGTTCAGTGGTTTCAGAGAAGAAGCTGAAAATGTTCAAATGTTAACACACGACGGACAACGACGGACGAAAACGGATAGCAATAGGTCACCTGAGTTACTCAGGTGACCTAAAAAGCTAATGATAACTTTTCTTTATTGAACTTGTACATATACTATTAAAAAAAAGAACTTGGGATCGGTAAAGGAAACCAAAGATGATAGAAATCTGAAAGCTGCATCTATAGCAAACATTAAATATTCCCCTGGATTGTATACAAACAGAGATACATGTTCGGTGGATAAAATAAAAGAATTGATTGATTGATTGTATAATGTGTTTAACGTCCCTCTAGAAAATTTTTCACTCATATGTAGACGCCACCACTTGCCGGTGGAGAGCTGCAAATTTTGTCCTTTTTTTTTTTTTTTTTTTTTTTTTTTTTTTTAATTATTTTATTATTATCCATTATAATACATATAGATTCAAATTAAAATAACAGCAAATTTACAATGGATATTTAACACTCACACACCCATTCATACATTCATTTACATTTTAAATTAATATGAAGGTTGCTTTATAATAATCAGTTGTCTCTATCATGCAAAATAATTTAAGCAAACATCTAACATATACAGGTGTAATCTTACATTTGTTCAAATATATTTTTCCATAAAATCCATTGTTCTTCAAAATAATTTAGATTTGAATTGTTAATAGATATGCATCTTTCAATATTGTATTTCATTTTCAAATAGCTAAGTAAACCAAAGAGTGAAGGTATTTTTGATTGCAATAAACATGAAAAAATATATTGTTTTGTGTACAATATCATAAAATTTTCAATTCTATTATCATTTATAAGTGGTAATTCACCTAAGATAATATTTTTAACATTAAATGCAATTCTTTTTGAAATTGTTCTGTATATATGTAAACTCAAGTTCCTCCATAAAGATATAATATGGTCACAATGAACAAATACGTGCAGTACAGTTTCAGTTTCTTGGGCACAAAATTTACAAACATCAGTAGTTTTTATATTGATTTTCTTAAGATAAGAATCTACAGGGAGGATCCTATGTAAAATTCTATATTGTAACCACTGTACAGAAGAATCAGAAGTAGTCTTAAAGCAAACTTTAAAAACATCTTTTATACATATATCTGTCACTCCAAAGGGAGATAAGTCTTGATTCCACTTTGGAATTGCTGTAGGAATTATATCATTTTTGTTTATATAGTTGTAAATTCTCTTTGTACATTTTTCATAATGAAAAATATTTTCAAAATAAAATGGTAAATTAGGCTGACAATGTTTTCTCAAGTTCATTCGATCTATTGACATATTCTTTAAAAATTTAGAAATAGCAGAAATAGTACTATTATACTGCATTACGCATACATTGGAAATGCTGAATTTTTCTTGGAAGGCGGATTTTGATAAAAAATTGCAATCTTCTGACAAAAAATCCCCAATATTTTTAACTCCACTTTTATACCAATTTTCTATAAAAATACTTTTATTTTCTACCTTAATATTTGAATTATACCATACAGGAATATTGCAAGCCTTGCATTTCATTTCTACATCCTGATCTACATTCTTCAAAACATGCTGCCATGAAATAAAAACATCAAACCAGAAAATATTATTTTGAGGTATTAAACTATTTAAAATATATGCATCACCAAAATCCATAAATTTGTTTACAACATCTCTACCATTAATTCCTAAAAATATGTCCAGCCATGGCTTACTACTTTCTGATACCAATCTTTTGACCCATGTACATTTCAGTGATTTTATGAAGTAATCAACATTTAACATTTTTAATCCTCCAGATAAATAATCTTGAGTAACTATGTCTCTTTTAACTCTATCACTTTTTGATTTCCATATAAATTCAAAAAGGTCCTTACATAATGAAGATATTATGTCATAGCTAGGGGTAGGAAGAGAAATAAATAAATGAGTGAGTTTTGGTAGAATCAGTGTTTTAACAATGGTGACACGACCGATTGGTGTAAGTATTCGCCTTTTCCATTGTTGGATCATTGATTTAATTTTTGGTAAAACAAGTTTGTAATTTATGTCAGTAATATTTTCTAGCTCTACAGAAAAAGTTATACCAAGCAAAGTAAAAGTTGTGGATCCCCAATCTAGTTTCCATCTTGTATGATGAAAAACTTGACTTGAAAATTTTTTCGAGCCAATCCAAATAATTTTTGTCTTCGAACTATTTATCTTTAAACCAGATAATTGTGAAAATAAATCCAATGTATCAAGAGCAGCAAACAAAGATTTTGGTGAACCGTCAAGGGCAAGCAAGGTATCATCTGCATATTGAGAGATTTTGTGTTCTTTTTCTTTGGTATCATCTGCATATTGAGAGATTTTGTGTTCTTTTTCTTTTAATACCTTTTATATCTCTGTTTTGTTTAATGAGAATAGCCAGGATTTCAGCACAAAGGAGGAACAAGTAGGGAGCAACAGGATCTCCTTGTCTACAACCCCTCTGAATAAAAAATTGTTCTGATAAAAAACCACATTGTAAAACTGAAGCTTTAAAATTAGTATTTAGGATTTTAATCCATTCAATAATGTTGTTTCCAAAACCAAAATACTTCAAAACTTTATACAGAAAGGTCCATGAAATTGAGTCAAATGCTTTCTCAAAGTCTAATAGCATCAACAGACCAGGAATATTATTTGACTCTGTATAAGACATTAAGTCATAAATAAATCTTGTATTTTCCCCTATAAATCTACCTTTAATGAAACCTGTTTGTGTATCAGAAATAAGATATTCTAGAGTGGACTTTATTCTACAACTTAAACATCCAGATATAAGTTTATAAAGGACATTTAGTAAAGTAATTGGGCGCCAATTTTTTAAGAGCTGTCTTGGTTTATCACCTTTGGGTATACAGGAAATAATCCCAAGTCTCTGAGAAATTGGAAGTTCTTTCTTTGAAAAAATACAGTTAATTGCATTTAAAATATAACTTTTCAAATCTGTCCAGAAAAATTTGAAAAATTCAGCTGTAAAACCATCACTCCCTGGAGACTTGTTATTTTTCATATTCTTAAGAACATCTAAAATTTCACTTTCTTCAATATCTTTCTCAAGACTATTAGAAGTCATCTCGTCAAGTTTTTTAACTTCCGCTGGGTCAATAATATCATTCAGATCCATGTCAATACATTCTGAATCTTTATTTGAATACAGTTCTTCATAAAAAGATTTAACTTGGTTTAAAATTTCAAATTGATCATAAACAGTGTATTGTTCGTCAATCTCAACCCTTTTAATAATTTTGTTAACATAGTTTCTTGATTCTAAATTACAAAAATATTTTGTTGGCTTTTCACCCTCTTCTACCCATCTAGCACGGGATCTAATTAAATGGCCTTGCATTTTAACTTTTCTTAAATTTTCAAGGGTTTCTTTTTTTTCTTCCAAAATATCTGTATTATTTTCAGTACTTGTTTCTAATCTCTCTATTTCCACTATGAGGGATTTCTCTGACTTTTCTCTCTCTCTTTTCTTAAATGAAGAATATGAAATAGATATTCCTCGTATTTCCATAAGAAGAATTTCAAGAAATATAGAGTCATCCATATTTTCAACAAAAATAGCATTATTTTCAATATCATTTATATTTTGTAAATATTGACATCTGACTTTTTGTATAGTTTGCTTCACTTTTTCAACATACACTGCGTCATTCAGTAAACTATTATTAAACTTCCATAGGCCACGACCTTTATTGAAGGGATTGAATTTTAATTCTAGAACAACAATAGAATGATCAGATCTGTACCCCGGTTTAACAGTAAATTCTTCAACAAGATTAGATAATCCTTCAGATATTAAAATATAGTCTTAGTAATCTGCCTTGTTTGACAGGGTTTTTTTTCCTCCATGTGAACATTTTTTTTTCTGGATTCAAAATCCTGTAATAATCAATCATTTGTAAATCTTCCATAATTTCTATCAATTTTTCACGAGCCATTGGATTATTTACATTAACATAGTTGTATGTATCTATTTCTGGATTAAGAGCAAGATTTAAGTCACCGCATAGTACAAAATATTCATTATCAAATTCTAGAAAAATATCTCTAACCTTTTCATAAAATTCTGGACAGTCAGTATTCGGTCCATATACATTTACCAGGGTAAACCTATTGTCTTCAATGGTAATATCAAGAGCTACTAAATTCCCTTCCTTATCTCTCTTATCTTTGTGGACTTTAAATTCAAAATTATTGTTAAAAAGAATACTTACTCCCCGTGAATTCGATTTATATGAACTAAAATAGCACTTGTAACCCCACTGAGCTTCTACAAATGGTTCTGTTTCATATGTAAAATGTGTATCCTGCAGACACAAAATAGAGTAACCCTTTTTTCTATAATAGTTAAGGACATCTTGTCGTTTTTGAATTGTCGCTAGACCTTGACAGTTCACCGTTACGATTTTTATATTATCGTTCATCAACAAAAACTGATTTGTAAAATGTAAGCAACCTCCAAGCAAAATTTTCGACTAGATGACAGTTGTATTTTCTCACAGACACACTTTCGCACTCACTCAAAAATGTAAACAAAACTGAAAAAAGAATATATAAACAAAAGAAAAGGGTATGTACATGTACGAAACAAACTCTTTGCATAAATTACAAATGCATAGTTGAAAGAGTTTAATAGATCAATAGTCGGAGTGTTCATTTTTATTTTGTTTACCTCAAATTCTGTGCCGATGTAATACCGGACATACTTCTTTGGTCGGTAAATAAAAAATCAAAAACGAATATAAACTTCTTTTTTCCGGAATATATACTATAAAAAAGAAACCTGTTCAGAACAGAGCTATTCAATCCGGGAAAAAGAAAAAAGCAAAAAACTATTTATACCAAAAAATGTTCAAGAAAAGAAAAATCGCGTTGCAGAACACTCTTTTAGCTTATCGAAGTTCTTTGAGGGCGTCAAATAACGCTTTCTCCATTATGTCGAAGCGTTTCGGACCAAGATGTTTTCCCATCATGCGCGATATCACAACTGATACATTTGTAAAGTTTTCATCTTGTAGAATTTTTAGCATTTTCCTTCCAGCTCCAAATTCGCCGTCGTCACAGTATCCGTCATGTATAGTCCCAGAATTGTCTTTAAAACGGTATACCAGTATATTGTGATTTGCACGCCCATAAACTGGATCCATGGAAATTTTCCTGTAGAAGTTCCGAACTTTTGCATATGTCTCTACCTCAACTGCAGCAGCGCTAATTTGGTTTCCTGATTCTGTGTGAGTGTTAGAGCGTTTAACTTCAATTTCCTCTAGTTTCTGTTGTTCTTTCTGGTCAAGTTGTAGAATTTCCTCGGCGTTTGGTGTCTTCACTTTATATCTGTAAACAGACCCATTCGGGAAAACCAATTTGTCCCCAACAACTCTCGTTTTGATATTTTCACTCCAATATTTGCTGTTGAGTTCAACCAGTTTTCTGCGAGTTTCGTTAACTTGAACTGGTGACTGGGGGGTGATATAGAATGGTAGAGTAATCCCTTCATCTTTCTTTTTTCTCTGTTGTTTTAGTAAACGGTCTTTGTTCTCAAATCTCACTAACCGGCCTGTTATAACTCGGGGCTTATCTCCTTGCCTTCTGTCCCCCGCATTCCTATGGATATTAACGAACTCTATTCCGTCTATATCTAGGTGTTCATTTAGCAGGCGGGGGATTTTGCTGAATAGATCTTCGCCTTCTTCTTCTTCCAGGTTATGTATAAGGATATTGTTTTTCATGGATCGCCCTTTCAAATCAATAATTTCCTTCTCTTGTTCTGTGACTTTTCTATCAAGTCTGATTACAACCGATTTTAACATTTCAAGATCCTTACGTAGGGATGCATTTTCAGATTTTAGACTGTCTATTTTGTCCTTTATTCTAGGTACTAGGGGCCATTGAGCAGGTAGGGACCTTTTTCGTACCAGCACCTACTGCGACACGGGGCCTCGGAAATAACAAACTGTTAAAAAGTTTACTGTTCATTAATTTTATTGCTACAGTAATGAATATAAATTAGGAGCAGAGCAAACGCAGACCTTTCTAGCATCAGAGGTGGATGTCACGACACCGATTTGCTTCATCGGTGATGTTTTTTCTATGTATAATCTAAAAAAAAACATGAATAAACATATGAAATAAAAATTTCAAAATGTCTATCATATTTCATCTTGGTAACCGCGTGTGCTATATCAATGTACGTTCGTTCCTTGTTATCTTACGGTCCCTGTGAATAGGGGAATCGTACTGAATATGGATACCAAGCCCATTGCAACTAGCCACAACATCGCCGATATCCTTCGCAAATTCCTAAGCGTTTTAGCGTCCACAGTGCTGACTAGAAAACCAGGAAACCACGTTTCCCCAACGTGCTTTACCACGCCCTCGAGTAGTCACCTTGGTTGCCATCGTTAACAGCATCAAAGCTTGAAGACATATATCAACTTGACTCAGTCGAGCTGCCTTACATCAAAATAAATGTTTAAACATACGGAGTTGGTCAGTATGATTTGTTTTTCCCATTATTTCAAGAAGTTAATTTTTCAAAAATTTTATTTCATTAACAATGATTAAAAAAGGCAAAAAAGCAAAATCTTTTAAAAATAATCATTTTGTCTATTGTCATCCTTTTTTAACAAACCATTATGATAATTTTAAATGAAGTTTTTTCTTCATTACTTACCTGGGAATGAAAAGTCAGTCATATTTTAACTTGTAACTTTCAAAGGTTAATAGCATTTGTCATCGTATTCTCTCCGATGTTTCTTTGTCAGCACCAGAGGTAGACAATAACAAGGGTTTGAATAATTTTTGCACAGTAGATTTTACTTATTTCCTTCCGGTCGGATTTTCGTTTTTTTTTCTTTAACGATATTCGGTAATCAGTCTGAACTTTAAGAACTCCGACAGTCATTTCTTTGAATTATATGATTTTGGTATTTAACTAGCCATAAAAAAAATACTGGGTAGAGTCAGTTTCAATTTTTCAGAGATCTGATGGTTGTCCGATTAAATCGTGGAAAAAGCAATTTAATCGAAAAATTTATTTATAATTTATTTTTGAATGTTAATAAAAAATAATATACAAAATAAGGCTTTTATCATATTAGAATATGCAAAGGGTATGATTCTACGTACGATGAAATACCACAAAAATGGGGACACTTTATTAGGAAATATTCTATGAATAGAAGAAGAGTGGCTGAATAATTATGATATTTTTAATTCTTATGTATTATGTTGACATTTTTTTTTATCATTTAAGGAATTTTCTTAATTTTAGCCATTTTTTGAAGACTATGATGGGGATAAGCATGACTAATTTAAGGGCGCACCGGAGAGCATATCAAATATTGTTTGTAATGAGTAATTGTGTTTTCATAAAATTCAAATGATAACGGAATCACTTATACATAAGAGGCTATTGATCAAGGCACTAACAAAAGACTTATTATTACAGCCCGTAAAAAATGACTCCCTATTGGTGTAGTAAAAGAACTTTCCCAAAGGTAGTCGGTGTAAATCATTGAAATAATATTGTTGACAATAAAACCTTGATATTTAAAGTAATTAATAGTGTGCACCTGCGATGGGTTCAGGACAACCCCAAACGTTATCACAATGGCTAGCCTCACAGAGACACTTCTTGTTACACCGTCTTCCATAAAATCCACGTGGACATTCCCTACTGCAGTTAATACCGTGCCGTCCTACACACTCTTTAAACAAATGTAAAATGTTTAATAATGCAGAAAGTTGGCATAAATTTTATGAAAGTTAAAAGTACCTTTTACAAAACAATATATTTTATTTTGTTTGCATCAATAAAACGATCTTATATTTGGATAAACATATAAAATCGAATATTTTCATATGATTATATTTCATTGAATATTTGACTAGTTATATATTCAAAGAAACAAAAATACCTTGGCATCTATGCTCAGCCTGTAAGTACACGTAGTTTGCACAGCAATAATAATAACCATTCCTACAAGAGGAATGTTGAGCATTCATTTACTGACAGTAATTAGAATATTAAACTGTTTAAACTCAAGTAAAAAAAGAATTATCAGTTTATATATATCTTTAAATAAAACTCACAGCCTGTTGTAGCAAACACCTTTAGAATCAACCACATCACCTTAGGTTGTACAAGAATTACAGCTTGTGAAAAATTTCACTGTATATATATATATGAGTATTTTTTTTCAAATGTGTATGAGAGAGAGAGAGAGAGCGAGCGAGAGAGCGAGAGAGAGAGAGATCATACTTCTAAGACATCCCAAAACTTTATGACACGTATCAATGAAACAGTTACACTGTCGCAAACAGGAAGCTCCATAGAAACCGTCAGGACAGGGTTCTGAACAATTCTCTCCAAATCCCCCAACACATTCTAACAAGGTACATTCAAGTGAATATTTTTCATCTATTTTTTTTTATTCACGAGTAAACAGATGATTAAATAATTTGAATTTGAATTTGCTTGCTCTTTGTACATGTACATATATTTTATTTGATCCTTGACTTGTAATTCATGTTTGAAAAATCATATATTTTACCTATACATCGGTCCTCCTCAGCATTATAAAAGTAGTTTGTGCAACACTTCGATTTATTCCTGAAATAATGAAATAAACTTCATTCAGTCATGAAAATGTTCAAGTAAAGGTAACTTACTTATAACATTCACCTACCTGTCATCATAACAAATCACATTTCTGTTTATGGCAGCATACGATTGGAAAAAAATTATTAGGTAGAGTAGTATACTTTTTTCGAGCACAATTTTTCCGATCATTTTTTATATGCGTATGTTTTTGTCGAAATATTTGTATTTATATTTGATCACACACTTTATTTAAGTATAGACTCTATTGCTCTGTGAACTTTACTCTAAGTAATCCTCCTTCATGAAGGATTAATGTTCAAAACACTAAATAGTGTTCTACAATGAATGCTATGACAGCTCGTAAATATTCATTAATTTCATTCGAAGGATGCTTGGCTGAAGTTCATGTTTTCTGTTTGAGTTGATCATAAATTATAAATGCATTTATAAAAGGTTGACTTCACGTTTTCAATGTGACATACCTTTTTACTTTTACATTTGTAATCTAGATCGTATGTGAGTTTAGATTGATGCATTTTTTTCGTTTTAAATACATTTAGGACACAAACTATCATAAAATTCTTAGAAACACAGATTTATTACATTTTTTTTTCTAAATAGTTACATTATATGATCAACTTATATCACAGCTGGAAGTCTGTATACCCGTAACTCCTGCCCTAAAAACAACTTTTACTTTATTGTGTTAACTAGATTTTAGTTCTACCTTCTCTTGGATAAATTTCATAGTCGATTCCATTTTTCGCTGTCACATCATAGTCTCAAATGTTTATAACATCAAAACTTGACTTTTCTCCTCTCTTTGTACGAACATTTCTCACGATCAAATAAAATCTAGACTTTTTATATCGCAGTCAACTGCTTCTTTAATAAAATTCAAAATTTTGCCTAAGTCTGTAAGCAGTGAATTTTTGAAAAATCTTGTGATTTTAAATTTTCAAAATGTTCATTGGAATTTTTTAGTACCCACATCCGCTTCTATAGTTTATTGTTGCACAATACTCTTGAAGTTTCTCCTTCACTAATGTTAATATCTATGTGAGTAGTAAATAAAGAGGTTGAACATATACGGGAACCCGCTGTGTATCTTTGTTTGGAAGGGTTTTTTAATGAAGTTTCGGAATCCAATATAGATATCGTAAATCAAATTGATTTTGGTTGTTTGGGATATTTAAAATACAATATTCAAAACTGACATATGATTCTGAAGAACAACTTTTGGAATCTAATTAATCACTAATTGCACCCCTTTATCACTATTCTCTTGAAAGAAGTGGACAGGTTTAGTCTACATCCACGGTCCACTTCTCTAAAGAGAATATTTTATTACCTGACCTACATTTCTTTTTCATATGAAGCAGAACTTACACGAAAAACTCTACATGAGAAGAGCAAAATACGTGCTGTGGCCTTCAATTCGACATTCACGTATATTGACGATGCTTTATTAATCAACAAGTTATTTTTATTCGTATGTCGACTCGATATGTCCCAGTGAACTTGAAATAAAAGGTACCACAGAGTTTGCCACACCTTTTTCATTTTGGATGTTTTACTGCCTAAAGATGATGAGGGCTAACTAACAAATAAAAATGTATATGACAAACGTAATGACTTTAATATTCCATAGTCAATTTCCTTCATATTACTCTACTATTCCACAGTCAACTGCTTAGTTCTTATGTGTCCAAACTTATTAGCTCCCCAAGAGAAAGCGCACTATGCTACTCAACGATTAGTTGATGTTCCAGGGATTTCATTAACCTTGCTTAAAGTCAATATTTTTGTGGTCATGACGACTTTTTTGGCAATTATAAACTACCATATCAAGGGCGGATCCAGGGGGGTTTGGGGGGGTTTGGGAAAACCCCCCCACTCATTGATTTTTTTTTTTTTACAAGTGTTATTTTATCATTTTGTTGCATTGATAAGACTCTAATAAACATGAAGCTTTGTTTGTTCAACTGTGAAATATACATCAACTACGTAACAGGAAATCACTTTCCGCTTGAACGCACACAATACACAGGTAATCAACAGAGAGAGTGCCTCACAGATCGGGTAGTCCATGCATCAAGTGAAGTCACAAGGTCACAGTACAATGTAGTTAGGTACCAACAACAGAAAACTGCATAGTTACGGTGCTGCTCAGTAATATTCTTTTGCTGATAAAATGCATGTTTT